TGCGTTTCTTTTTTGAGAGTGTGTAGTTGATGCACGTCATCGTATCCCAATTGCGTAGATTGATGCTCATGATGTCAATCACTGGATTGTCTGGGTGCGCAGTCAGGCAACAAGCAAGCTCTTATCTTTTTATGCAAATTGTCTTGTCATCACTATTGTGTTTTTTTTGGCAGTGGATTCTGTTTCGGATAATCGAGAATTATTCTCTGGTTTTGACGTTTAATACTTATAAATTCTTATGAACTCGAATCTTATACTCATTAAAACAGTTTAATCAACCAAATACTTTCAGCCTCAATGCAGGAGGAATCTGACGTGAGATCGACGCTCCTTGTCACAACACTTATGGCCTTCAAGAGAGAACCCGTGTATGAACTTTCTTTCCCCGATGCACAAGAACAGAAGAGCATCACCCACCCCAAGAAGGTGAGATGCATGCTGTATATAGCAGCTACCAGAACAGTGTTGATCTTCCTTTATCTGATAAGGAAGAAGAGACCAGACGCTTGTGTCCTAGCTTCCCTATCTCTCGACAACAAAACCATGGGGGCCATCAGGAGTGACCTCGACGGTAGAGGCATGGTGTTAGATACGCAACGGAACATGATCGTGCTTGCCATCGCTGAGCCGAGGTCCGCCATCTACTCAATGTCAACTGATGGAAAAAAACTCAAATTTCTTTTCCACCCTGTGAACAACCACGACACACGTTATCAACATACATCAGTTGCAGTGGACGCAAAGAAAGGCTTGATCTATGCGTGCGTTCCTACGTCAATAGTTGTTGCTGATGTTGAAGGAAGGAACATTGACGTCGTTCACCACGGCGAAATGCTATATGGCATCGCGTTTGATCCGTGTGCTAATGCGTTGTACTTCGGGTCACACACGGACGTGAAGAAACTCCTGCTTGCAGATAGTCACCTGTCAACGTTGATTAGTTTAGAAGCCGGACTCTTTCCTTTACGAGTTGTATATCATAAGGATTATGTATATATCGCGTGTTCTAGTTCTACCCAACTCTTTAGGTATTACCTCAGGGCGGGGGCAGGGCGGAACGACTCTCTCCATGGTGTTACTGTGAATGGTCGTATCCAAAATTGGATATTTTGTATTAAGTCCTGATGGACAAAAACAGGAACATTGTCCGCCCCTTCAAACTAAGATCTAGGAATAATTCTTGGAAATTATGTCTGAGACGATGAAACGTAGGACTTAGTCCTGCACGATGACCGTGGAATATATTTATTTTATTTAAAAAAATAAACTAGAAATGCATACAAAAGCAAGTCTAGTCAGCTCAAGCTAGCTCTATTCCACAGCATAGGGAATTTTTATATATTTTTAGAGTCAAGAAGGATATTGTGTAATATAAGATTTCAGAGACTAAATGTTAGTCTACGTAGGACTTTACACATGGAAATAGGATCGCGTTTTCGTCAAATGTTCGAAATGATGACAATCTGCACACTGTTACAAAGTCACTTGCCTCAGGAGAAACCATATGTGCTTCAGGGGCCCGTTCCATGAAGCGATCTTAGCGCTAAGGTGATCGTAACTCCCATACTTTAACATAGGCTTACGATCATCGTAGTGCTAAGATCGCTTTGAGGAACAGGGTCCTGGTGGCCAGGACCGAAGCCCTAGAAACTCTCGGGGGCCAAACTGCAGAACAAGGTTACCCATCCCGTGATTCTCCGCGACCAACGTAGCTTTGCTTCGCCTGTGTTCGTGTGCGCTGTGCACAGGACCACGTGTCTTCACCAGTGGGAGAGGGGGCACGGGTGGCCCAGTCGTCTAAGGCGCCGCGATTCGCTGTGCAGAGTTGCGTCCCTTGGGCACGCCAGAAACCTATGATTGTGGGTTCGAATCCCGGTTCGCCCCAATTATGTGTCTAGGTTTGTCAGCACCATACCCGTGCTCGTGGGTTTCACCGAAGTGGTAAACGTCTGAGACCTGCATCACTTCAGGCTTTCCTCCCACATTAAGCTGACACGCCGTGATATAACTGGAATACTGTTAAAAGCGGCGTTAAACCCAACTCACTCACTCACTCACCAGTGGGAGATGCGGTTCGTATCAGCTGATGGTGAGGCCGGATGCCTGTTTGGGCCCGACTTTGAACCTTGGTCTGCCAAGTACCTTTGTTCATGGGTTTCCCTCGCGGGGGAATTGAAGAGCTTAGAGCCAAAAGGGGCCAAAATGCACTTTGGCCCTTTTTGCATATTATTGCTTAAATAACATCTATGAGTTCTTGTCTACATGTTGAAAAAATATTGGATGTTTTCATTTAAATGTTTTTTGAAATATAGCGACTTAAAATTCTGTAAAAGGGCCAAAGTTAAATTCCAAAAGGGCTAAAGTCACTTTGCTATATTTTGGCCCTTTTAGCGCTCATTTCCGCGTGTGGTTGATACTGGTGTGAAAGTTTGGAAACATTGTTATTATTATTATGTGTCAATTATTTCAACAAAATATGGCATCAGTTTCAATCATTTAAAAGAGCTTCAATAGTATGTGTTTATGCTTTCTGTGGTAGTTTTATCAATCTCACATGTTAAATCCTATGCAAATGCCTGAGGGTAAAGAGAGCCAACATACAGACGTTGACCCTTTCCGCCCTTCAATAATTTAAAAACGTAAGTTTATTTCCTTTTTAGAATGTTTTTTTTTTATAGCAATATTTATATCTGCTGTCGGTATGTGTTAAAGTTTAGGAATTTGACGGTGAATGTTCATTAGCAGGCATAAGGTTATAGTTTTTATTACATTTCTCAAACTAGACTCCACCTGATATTGGCCCTGAGCGCTATAAGGGGCATGGGTGGCCCAGTCGTCTAAGGCGCCGCAATTCGCTGTGCAGAGTTGCGTCCCTTGCGCACGCCAGAAACCTATGATTGTAGGTTCGAATCCCGGTTCGCCCCGATTATGTTTCTAGGTTTGTCAGCACCATACCCGTGCTCGTGGTCCAGTTCTATCTACGGCAGATAAAAAAATCGAGTCTGGACCAGCTAAACCTATGAAATACATGTATGGGATTCGCTGTGCAGAGTTGCGTCCCTTGCGCACGCCAGAAACCTATGATTGTAGGTTCGAATCCCGGTTTGCCCCGATAATGTTTCTAGGTTGGCAGCACCACACCCGTGCTCGCGGGTTTCACCGAAGTGGTAAACGTCTTAGACCTGCATCACTTCGGGCTTTCCTTCCACATTAAGCTGACACGCCGCGATATAACTGGAATACTGTTAAAAGCGGTGTTAAAAATTAAACCCAACTCACTCACGCTAAACCCGTCAATTGGTCTCCAGCTCTACTGGAAATAAGTTTTCATTGGCGATGGTAAGCCTACTGAGACTCACTTGTTTCACATTGGATATTAATTGGAAAGTGTTATAAAACTTTGTCGTTTTCTCAAAAGCAGGCATTAATCGCGGAAACACGTAGCGACAGAAAGTAGTACTGTGAGAAAATTAAACTGTGAATTTACATTAAATGAACTCAGTTTAACAGTGGGCTCAGTATATTTAGTTCTCTGAATATTGTGTTTGTAGTTAATGCATGTGTATGTACCATTAAATCCGGCGCCAATCGCCAAGTAAATAAAATTGACATAAATGGATGCATGTAAAATATCTCTGACTATTTCAGGATGTGATTCAATAAAAGACTTTTCGTAAGTTATAATTCACATTTGATTACTGTTTGCACAGTGCCAGCTTTACCAGGTTGGTTGTGTTTGTTTGTTTCTTGTCTAACGCAATATTCCAGCTATATGACGGCGGTCTGGAAATAATCGAGTCTGGACCAGACATTCCAGTGATTGATATCATGAGCACCGATCCACGCAATTGGGATCGATGACATGTATCAACGAAGTCAGCGAACCTGACCACCCGATCCCGTTAGTTGCCTCTTACGACAAGCATAGTCACCTTTTACGGCAAACTTGGGTTGCCGAAGGCCTATTCTACCCCGGATCTTCACATGTCAGCTTTACCATGGGCATAAGGTACACTAATAAATGGTGCTTAACGCCGCCATCGGCAAAGGTCCAGTTCTATCTAAAAAATCGAGTCTGGACCAGCTAAACCTATAAAATACATGTATGGGATTAGACCCTTACCGCCGGATAAACTAACATCCTTGTGACATCGTCGTAGAAGGTCGTGACGAAAATACCCTTTTGGTATTGGGGTTAAAATAGAACCCCAGCAACTTATTCAGCTCGTAAAAGGCGACCAAATTGATCGGGTGGTCAGACTCGGTGTCATCGTACCTGATAGAGTGAAATAATATGATTGACTGGGACTCGATCATGTACAGGCCGGCGACATGCAGCGGAGACATTGCTGAGTGCAGCGTTAGTGGTCCTGTCACACTACGAGGTGTTAGAGTAACTTGCACCTAGCGGGTAAACGTGAGTGAGTGAGTATGGTTTTACACCGCTTTTAGCAATATTCCAGCAATATCACGGCGGGGGACACCAGAAATGGGCTTCACACATTGTACCCATGTCAGGAGTCGAACCCGGGTCTTCGGTGTGACGAGCGAACGCTTTAACCACTAGGCTACCCGACCGCCCCTTGAATCATTATCAAATAGTGAAGATACCAGGTGTCCGCGAACAAGCGAGTCTGCCTCAGCGCTGGTACCCGTCACAAACACATGCAGAGGCAAGTTAAATGTTCACCTGGACAAATATGGTTGCATTTTGGGGTAAGTCAAAATTCGGAATTGCATCAGACTTAATTGTGGTCTCTGATACGTCAAAATTAAAAATGTTCCCCACATGTCTACCATAAAAGATTTTTTTCCAATCTTTACTAAAGCGTCGATTACTGTTACACTGAGGAAACCAGTTTGGGGAATGTGGAAATGTGTTCTTTGATTGTTTTTCGAACAGGAGTTGCGGAATAACTAAATGTTTACCTCACAGATTTCCCCCGATCCAAAACACATCCAGCGAAAAACATATTTTTAATAAACTCTTTTTCTTTTATGTTTTGAATAATATTTTATTTTTCAAAATTGATGCAAAAATAAACGTCATACGTCTGATATACACTTTTCCTCGGGGTGACCTCTGGAATTTCTTCACTACGTTCATTAATATGAAGTCATGACAATAACATATATTTACAAAATATTTAAAGAACATCCTTTGATAACACTTGCGATTGAATAGTTTTTTCTACACAAATATTGTTTTTCCAATTTTCTCCTTTTAAAAGGCAGCATTTGAATACGAACCTTCCAATCAGTGTGTAATGGCTTAAAATCTTAATAAAACATCGCTCATTTTTAAATTTAATATGAAGTTCAACTGTTAGGTTACCAGTACTGCTTGTCTTCATCTTAAAGGGACTATCCTCCACGACATAATGTAAATGTTGGCGCTAGGTCTAGATAATCAGTATGTACATCAGAAAAAAACCCTGGGCCTGCCACTTAACCCGAGAGTAGTGTCCCCTTAACTTGGCAACAACAACACCCCACCGTAGCCGGAATTCAGTAATACATGAATTGCATCTGCAGTTGTACTGCGTATAGCAAACCAGATTTCTTCTCCAGCCTTGAGCTCCGTCACAGAGTTAATAACGGCAGTGTCATACCAATGGTTCTCCGACGTGAAGGCTATCGCTCCTGCAATGATTGGTCCGCGCTTGTGGAGATGTAGATCAAAACGAGACTCCTCGCCATACTTCATGACGTTAGCCCAGAACAGGTACGTCCCTGCTACGGGCGCTGTGAATCGCCCCGTATTGCTGTCGTAGCCGTTCCCAGTGTTGTAGGACACTGTGTCGAACTTGAGCGTGGTGCTGCTTGCTTGTCCGAACGATGGGAGCTCATAACGTGAATTTCGAACTTGAAACTTCACATCCGGTTTGGGGGGAGCTGTGTAGAAGAGAAATGCGTTAGACAGTGAGTTATGGTTTCGCTGCTGTTAACAATATTCCCACAATTTCATGGTTGGGGGATGAATTAATGTGATGGCAACATGCCAGTATAATATTGCTGAGTGCGGCCTCACACAACAAACACACGAAATACATGTTGCACTTTTATAATTACGAAATCACCCGCTGCAAAGAATAAGTTTAATATTTAACGTCGAATCGGCAATGTATCATTCATATAGTGAGGAGTGAGTGAATGAGCATGATTTCACGCCGCTTTTAGCAACATTCCAGCAATATAACGATGGGGTACACCAGAAATGTACCAATGAGGGGAATCGAACCCGGGACTTCGGCGTGACGTGCGAACGCTTTAACCACGAGGCTACCACACCGCCCTTATAGCGATGAGAACTTATCATATATACTTCAAAGCTAACTGGACAGACAAAAAGAAAATACATCAAGATGAATATGAGAAACGAAGACGGTGACATAACGTGGTGTGACACATTGATCAGTGTAGTGAAGTACACAGTGAGTGAGTGAGTTGGGTTTAACGCCGCTTTTAACAGTATTCCAGTTATATCGCGGCGTGTCAGCTTAATGTGGGAGGAAAGCCCAAAGTGATGCGGGTCTCAGACGCTTACCACTTCGGTGAAACCCACGAGCACGGGTATGGTGCTGACAAACCTAGAAACATTATCGGGGCGATGGGGGATTCGAACCCACGACCATAGGTTTCTGGCGTGCCCAAGGGACGCAACTCTGCACAGCCAATCGCGGCGCCCTAGACGACTGGGCCACCCGTGCCCCCGTGAAGTACACAGACGCCGAGTACGTTAAAATGCCGCAGTGCAAGTTAGATAGGTAAATAAATAGATATCATGTATTAATAAATAGTATTTCAATACACCGCCCATAAACTAAGATTTGGACAACTTTTCATACATCATTCTTGATACATCCCGGATTAAATAGGATAGCATAGACTAACATCTAGTCTATGAAATGAACATATTTCAAAGAAAATTACAGTTATAAAATATAATACATGTATAAAGGAGCCCAGAGGTTTTCCTCATTTTCAGAGTAATCTAGACTTGCTATACTTTATAGACTTGCATGGGCTGTATTAGATACATTTGTGGCAGCGTCTGTATGACAGACTAAGGGTATCACGTCTCTGATAAATAGCCCGTTACCATCAACTATAACGACACGACGCTAAAAATATCGCTCCAATCAAATAATGTTTTGAGAAAGAGGGCTGAAGTTGCTGATGGGGATGATGACGAAGGGGACATCACCTAATCTATGTGGCAAATGGACCCAGGACAAACAACCGCTAAGTGCGCTCCAGGTAAACCTGGAGTACGTACATAATACGTCAATAGGAGAGTAATTCCTCAATCTGAGCACTGCACATCTCGCCCCTCTGTTGTGAGAGGCTGGGTGGTAGGTCTCACCCCATTTAGGGGCACGGGTGGCCCAGTCGTCTAAGGCGCCGCGATTCGCTGTGCAGAGTTGCCTCCCTTGGGCACGTCAGAAACCTATGATTGTGGGTTCGAATTCCGGTTCGCCCTGATTATGTTTCTAGGTTTGTCAGCACCATACCCGTGCTCGGGGGTTTCACCGAAGCGGTTAACGTCTGAGACCTGCATCACTTGGGGCTTTTCTCCCACATTAAGCTGACATGCCGCGATATAACTGGAATACTGTTAAAAGCCGCGTTAAACCCAACTCACTCACTCAATAAAAAGGGAATTGTATATGGCAAAGATCTACCTTCTTATGTATAGATGAATTAATGTCTATGGTTATTTTGTATGTGAGATCTGAATAAAGTTTTTTTCTGATACCAAAAATAATAAAAACATGAATATACTCACGTATAGTTTCTGCTAATGATCTTATTTCATGAGCGTTGGTGCTGACATTTGACGCCACAGACGTCAGGTTCAAGGCCATGACCGACATGTTGGAGGTCATATGCAGAATTTCCAAAGAGGTCGTTTGTAGGTCAAGGTCAGTGGTGTTGATACGACCTTGAATATTTGACAAGTCAGAGTGAATGTTCTTAAAGGTAGAAGCTGACTTATTCACGTTGGATTCAATGACCATGACATCTGTTTGCAGAGAGCTGATTTCTCTGGACTTGACTCTAATCATTGCTTCAGTTTTGTTGACAGCGACGTGCAGACCCGCCAGTTCTGATTGGACAGTACCGATGTTCTTCGACATGGCCGTCCAGCGTTCTAAAAGATAAAGGCTAGGTCAGCGTATGTAAATAGGACGTTTGGTGCTCACTCTAAACCTATACACCTCTTATAGTTCTCATCCGCTGGGACCGCCTCCGTGGTCCGGGGTTTGATCCCCGGCCGCGTCATACCAAAAGACGTTAAAAGATGGTACTTGTTGTTACCCTGTCTGGCGCTCGGCATTAAGGGGCTAAAACAAGGACTGGTCGGCTCACAGTCAGTATACTGTGTCTGAGTGGGGTATTCATGTTAAACTGCGGCATGGTATCTCAGTGCTAGCACTATAAATCGGCATCAGGCCGGACTAGCACAAGCAGCCACACACACACACACGTACATGCACGTCGCTATATAAGTGCAATAATCTTGGACGCGACGTTAAACCCCATTTCACCTCACCACCTCTCATCCCCTGGTGAGTATAGGAATCGTATGATACGCTACAAGGTTTACAAGCACATTTACATCACATCATACTGGGTTCCACATTCCTGCTGGATGAACAGACGAAAAATAGCAACTGATCCTGCCTGAGGTACGGAAGCCTTTTCGGGCCATTTATTGTTTGTTTTTTGGTTTTCATGAAATTTCAAGTGAGTATCCCAAAATTTCAAGATGTTTTGTTGAAATTTCCAGATACATACTAAGTTGAAATTTCAGGATAACGAAATTTTTAAATTTCAAGATGATAAGTTGAAGTTTAAGATATTTACTTGAAATTTCAACTTAATATCTTGAAATTTTAAGTTAGTATCTTGAATATTCAAGAAAAAAATAATAAACAAATGGCCCCAAAAGGCTTCTGTACTGAGGAGACACCACGTGTAACAATATTTTTGACTGTGGGGCAAGACGTAAGCCCGAGAAATTTTCCTGAATCAGCTAAACACAGTCACCTCGACCTACTTTGTTCAACTCAGCCTGATTTGTAAACTGATTTGTGAATCTTTGCGGCGCACAAACCACGTGCCATCCCGTGTTGGCAATAGTCCAGCAATATTATTGTGGGTACAGCAGAAAGTGTTTCGGCCCGGGATTTGGGCGTGGCGAACCAATAGTTGAACCACTGGGTAATCTCAGCATCCCCTCAAGTGTCAGTAGCAACAGCGATGGTGTAGATGGTGGTCACATCTTCATCTTCCCGAGGCAGGGGTGACGATATAAGTCCAGTTTCCGGACTTTTCCCTTGCGTTGGGAGTGAGTGAGGGAGTATCGTTTTACGCCGCTTTTAGCTTGCCAATATTACAGCAATATCACGGCGGGGGACACCAGAAGTAAGCTTCACACATGTCGAGAATCGAACCCGGGGCATCGGCATGACGTGGAAACGCTTTATCCATTTGGCTACCTCACCGTGTATATCCGGTGTAGAATAGGTCTTCAGCAACCACTGCTTGCCGTAAAAGATAACTATGCTTGTCGTAAGAGGCGACTAACGGGATCGGGTGGTCAGGCACGCTGACTTGGTTGATGCATGTCATCGATCCCAATTGCGTGGATCGATGCTCATGATATCGATCACTGGATTGTCTGGTCCAGACTCGATTATTTACAGACCGCCGTCATATAGCTGGAATATTGCTGAGTGCGGCGTTAACAACAAACCAACCAACCAACCTTTGCCTCGGGAAGACGTTATGTCTTGTAATAACACCAATGAAAAACATCACTTACTTGTATACCTCGATCTGACATTGCTAAGAATGCGAGACGTTTTTAACACAGTAGGTGTGATAGAACTGATGTTGCGGTGAAGGTTTGCAAGCTTCGATTGCGCAGACCCAATAGCCTTGTAGTTTGTTTTCACATCTGAAGACGTCTTCTCGGCGGCTTCTCGAATAGCGTCCAGTTCGAATCGAAATGCCTGCGTGTCCTTGGTCGCCCTGTCTGTGTCCTCCTTGATCAGCCCGAACTGCGCATGTAGCCGGGCAAGGTTGAACTCAACGTCAGACGCCGTACTGTTGATCTTCAGTAACGTCGTGGCCACGTCATCTTTAACTGACGTGATGTCCTTCGTCATATTATGCCATTGGTCTGAAACATGAACCATACGTCATGATAATATATGCAATAACGATTAGCGCGAAAACAAAAAAGCAGCAAAAAAACCAAAACGGTTTGGGAGATATCTATGAAACACGTTTTGTCAAGGCTGATTGGATGTCCATAATCATATCGTGTTTGCAATGTTAATTATAGGTCACGATATATATATATATATATATATATATATATATATATATATAAAACGCCAATGAATGTTGCGGGTTCGAATCCCGGTTCGCCCCGATTATGTTTCTAGGTTTGTCAGCACCATACCCGTGCTCGTTGGTTTCACCGATGTCTGAGACCTGCATCACTTCGGGATTTTATCTCACATTAAGCTGACACGCCGCGATATAACAGGAATACTGTTAAAACCCATGTTAAACCCAACTAACTCACTAAAATTGTACACAGGTAAGAACTTCGTGGGGGTTCGAGATGGAATAGGTCCCCAGACATCTCTGCTGGTCGTAAGAGATGACAAGTAGATTGGCTCGTTGACGTGGTTCACAACACGACATACCACGACGGTGTGACTCGTTGCTCACGTCATCGATCAGTGGATTGGGTGGCCTATTTACAGACCGCCGTCATATAGTTGGAATAGTGCGGCGTTAAACAACAAACAAACAAACAAACAAACAAAGTCATGTTAGTTATAGACTTACTGTTCATATCAGCTCTAACAGACAGAGCAAGCTGCGTGGTAGCCTCCAGGTCGGTACTAGTCGCGTTCAACTTCCGGCGAAGGGTAGACAACTCTGACTGGACTCTCTCGGCATCCATTGCTGTTTGGGTCAAGTTGGTCCTCGCCTCGTCCAGACCGTCTGTCAAACTATTAATGTTATTGGCGTTGTCCTTGACCATTTGATCAGTGATGTTTGCTTTCATATGGAGATTGGACAATTGCAGTTGAAGGGTGTTTACACCCTTTGTGAGACTCTTCCATTTTCCTGAAATGGAAAAAAATAAATAAAAAAAATTTCCTGCTAAAAAGGCCGATTGTACTTTTCGAATTTGGTCATTACATGAATCTAGTTTGCTCACATGTTCTAAATTCTGGATACACGAGTGGCCCAGATGTATGGGGCGGTACAAGTCGCTGTGTGAGTTGCGTCCCTTGGTCGTGTCAGGATCCCACGGGTTCAATCCTGGATTCGTCCTGGTTCTGGTTCTATGTAAGCCATAAGGACGTACAACCTGCATCACTTCGGGATTTCCTCCATTTCATCAAATTGACGTGATGTGGTGTAAATGAGGCACAATTCAAGAAGCTGGGCGAGCAGTGAGCGAGCAATGGTCTAGCTGCGTAATAACGCTTCGATCCAAGCAATTGGGATACGATGACATGCATCAACCAAGTCAGCGATCCTGACCACCCGATCCCGTTTGTCGCCTCTTACGACAATCCTAGTCGCATTTTACGGCAAGCATGGGTTGCTGAAGGTCTATTCTAAAACAGATCTTCACGGATTACGAGATGAGGCGATGCGACAAGGGGTTCAGCATAGAGTTTAAGATGATGGCACTTATATAGCGACGTGCATATTATACCGACATCGATCCGCGTAACTGGGATACGATTACCATCCAAGTCAGCGAGTCTGACCATCCGGTCCCGTTAGTCGCCTCTCACGGCAAGCATTTGTTTCTGAAGGCCAATTCTAAGCGGATCTGCGCGGGGTATATGAACAAGTCCACTTTCAAGTTTCCTATTCGCAAGGAAGAACAGTTGGTTGGTTGGTTTGTTGTGAACGCCGCACTCAGCAATATTCCAGCTATATGACGGCAATCTGTAAATAATCGAGTCAAGACATCCCAGTGATTGATATCATGAACATCGATCCACGCAATTGGGATACGATGACATGCTTCAACCAAGTCAGCGTGCCTGACCACCCGATCCCGTTAGTCGCCTCTTACGACAAGCATAGTTGCCTTTCGCGGCAAGCATGGGTTGCTGAAGACCTATTCTACCCCGGATCTTCACAGGTCCAGTAAACACAGATGGACGTACCTGTAAACTCGGACTTAACGGAGTTTATTCTCTTTGTATTGGAGTCAATCTCTGAAGCAGTCTCCCTCACACTCGACTGGGTGCTTCTCAGCTCTGCTACCAGCTCCTCCACATCCACTGAAGACTTGTCCACAACTGCCCTCATCACCTTGACCTCTGAATCAATTCGTTTGATGTCGTATATGTTTGTCTGGACCTCCCGCGCTGTCTCGTTAAATCTCGCCGTGACGTCACTCAGCTGCGTGTTCAATGTTCTACCTGTCTCTAACGTCCTGTTGATGTCTGCTCCTTGACCGCGAAGTCCTGATTTAACGTACCCAAGTTCCTCCCTGTTGTCTTGAACTGATATATCAGTTCGGTTTAGCCTTTCAGTCAGAGCTAGCACTTCTGTATCTATTTTTCCAGCGTCTGATATTGTGTCGTAGAGACGTGTTCGTAGTCGGTGTATATTAGAGTTTATCGCTTCAATGTCCTCAGTGTTCTTCTTGGTGTTCCTACTGGTATCGTTAAGAAGCAGGGTAACGCCTGAAAAAAAAATCAACCCCGTGCTTTAAGACGGTGTGTATATATATGAGTAATTTGTTTAAGGTAAAAAATCAGCAAATCTTCTGGTTAATCGCGAAGACCTTTGAATGTTTCACTGGGGACCAGCCAAACTATTGGTCAGATTGTCTAATGAAACGAAATTTCCTCGTTATTCCAGCCGTAAAAAAACTCTCACCCGTCATACGATGCATCTCGGGCCAAATGGTACTATGCGATTACACAATAATACAATGTACAAGGGATATCTTCCTCGTAATTTCGGCTATTTTATCGAAATTTCGAGTTTCTTCTCGTAATTTCGATTATTTTCTCGATATTTCGATTATTTATTCGTTATGTCAAGGTGTTTTCTTTTTACAAAAACACGAAATTTCGATTTATTTTCTCGTTATTTCACTTATTTACTCGTTATTTCAATTATTCTGCTTCGAGTTTTCTATCGAGGGTTTGTTTTAAAAAATAATTGAAAAAACGAGAAAATAATCGAAATAATTTCGAGAGAAATAAATTCTACCAAAGTGGCACCATTAGGCTTTGGTGGATATTTTAGAGTTGTGGAAGGTTTACGATATTATCAACCAGTCTACCCAAGTGTTATCCGAATAAGCTATGAGACCGACCCTTGGGTTGAAAGGGCTGGCGTCGATATGTGTCTCTGGACACTGCTTGCATACATCAAATATTCTCCTCTGATAGACGCCAGCCAAACAATTTGTTTTTCAGGACATGTTTTTCCACACTCGCCCGCAAGACATAATATCAACCAGTCGGTCCCTGACTTATCAATATACAAAGTTACCTTCCACATTCGACTTCATGGACGTGAGTTCCCGCGCGTTTACAGCGATGTCTGCAGCGTTCTTCTTCACTCTTTGCTGGAGATTTGAAACCCGTGATTTCACATGACGGGCAGCGTCCTCCCCGCTGTCGACCCTCTCCCCCATCGTCTTCACCGCCGCGACCACACCCTGCACGTCCTCCCTCGTAGCTGCACCTGCGGTGAAGGTTTTGTTTAGCAAAACTTCACTTATATTCATCCTGGTTTTTAAGTCCGAGACCTCTGTCTTGATGACCCAAGTACCATCGCTTGTTGCATTCAGTAGAGTCCCCATCGCCACCACCTCAGCGACCAGATCACGCACAGATCCCTTGTTCCGCTTCACAGACTCGCTGGTGGTGTTCGTGCTGTGGCGAATCTGTGCAAGGTCTGACTTGATTACTTCCGCGTCTTTCAGCATTCCCTGGATTCCCCTTCGCACAACGACCTGGTCTGACAGCAAACTTTGAATACTTTCGGAGTTTTCTCTGACACTTGAATCGGATTGATTTAGATGGTTGAAAATAGTTGACACTTGAGTCGCTACAGATTCGATGTCTGTTCTTGTATCTGCAACACGGAAGACACCCCTTAGTTAGTTTGTTTGTTTGTTATTTAACGCCGCACGCAGCAATATTCCAGATATATGACGGCGGTCTGTAAATAATCGAATCTGGAGCAGACAATCCAGTGATTGACATCATGACCATCTATCCACGTAATTGGGATACGATGACATGCATGCGAAGTCAGCGAGCGTGACCACCCTATCCGGTTAGTCGCCTTTTACGACAAGCATAGTCGCCTTTTACGACAAGCATAGTCGCCTTTCAGGACAAGCAAGGGTTGCTGAAGACCTATTGTACCCCGGATCTTCACGGATCCCCCGTTAGTACGTGAAGCGGTATATGGTTGCGATATTGCGAATGTGACGTTTAATATTAACTCACTAAACAATGTGTTTTTGTGGTTGAAAATAGTTGAATATGATTAATAGACAGTATGTACTCAGACAGTATGTTATAAGGGAATGCTTAATGAATGTATTTTCCACTCTTATATACAAGAGGGGCGGTCGGGTAGCCTAGTGGTTAAAGCGTTCGCTCGTCACGCCGAAGACCCGGGTTCGATTCCCGACATGGGTACAATGTGTGAAGCCCATTGATATTGCTGGAATATTGCTTAAAGCGGCGTAAAACCAAACTCACTCACTCACTCACTGACTCGCTCACTCACTTATATACAAGACGTATATATGTATAGAAAGTGTTTCATGACGCAACCCGTGCCCCCTTATTATTATTATTATTATTATTAAACATATACACACAATAGAGAGGGGACAGTAAGGTAATACAAATATAATAATAAAGTTGTAGCGTTCGAAAAGGTTGGGGTTAACACTGATGAAATCGATGAGCACGGTTATAGTGCTGACAACCCTCTAAACACAATCTGTGCGAATCCACAATCATAGGTACCTGGAGAACCTAAGGGAGGCAACTCACTTTGCACAGCAAATTGCGGAACCTGAGATATGGCCACTGGTGCCCCAAGAAAATGGCTTATGATTTGCACTGACCTGACACCGCGGATTGCAGAGATTTTATGTCCGCTTCGTTCGACGCTGAAGTTGAACGTGAAGTGTTCAGACTTGAAAACAGTGTTGAAATATTTACTTTGGCAGTGTGGATGTCCTGGGTGTGTATTTCAATATCTGAATCCACACGAGCAAGTCGTGAGCGTATATCTGATACCTCTGATTTCATTTCCTCACTATACAGCAGAGTTGTGTTAACATGGCCATCAACACGAACCAGCTGTGACTTGAGATCGGCTACATCTTCCCTGCTCGCCGTGAATTCATCATGGGTGCTATTAAATTTCTGTTGTAAGACCGAGACATCTGACCTGGTCTCTTCAGCGTCCAGTCTCGTTCTACGTAACTTTGTCCTCAGCGCAAGTACCTCCCCACTTAGAAGCGTCAAATCGTCCTTGGCAGTCCGCACATCTGCCTCTGTGGTATTCAGCCCCACGCGAATTGCTGATAACTCCACTCCAAAGTCTTCACTGTTTCTGTTAATAACACTAACATTTGACATAACACGCGTTACGTGTGTTTGTACGTTGACAATGTCAGTCTCGAAGGTTTTAAACAGAGATATGGATCTATTGGCATCTGATTTGAGTTGAAACAATTCCTGCTGTACGTCTGTAGTACCCCGAGCGGCATCACTGATGCTTCTCTCCATCCTCAGAAGCTTGGATTCCATCTGACGGATGCCGCCAGCGTTACCGGCCACAGATGAAGCTGTCCTGTTGATGCTGTGACGGAGAGAGGACAACTCGAAGGCTAACTCCTCGGAGCTGATGGCTGTGTTATTCCGCAGATCAGATTTGAAGGACACAATTTCTTCAGTTACGTCTTTCAACCTTTCTGTAAATAAATACATTAAGCTACGTTTTACAACGAACAGGCTTATAACGAATTGGTGGATATAACGAACTGTTTTTTTCTTTCTACGGTTAAAACGAACTGAAATTTGTGGTCCCTTTGAGTTCGTTATAACCGTAGTTTACTGTAATGAGTGGCGCTGATTTTGTTTTGGTTTAGCAATATTCCTGAAACATCAGCACGGGTGAATACAAGAAATGGTTTGGTACCTATGTGCGGAATCGAACCTAGACTTTCCGGGTTACCACAAGGCTGCCCTCCTCACCGTGAATAAGTTGGTTGGTTGGTTTGTTGTGAAACGCCGCACTCAGCAATATTCCAGCTATATGACGGCGGTCTGGAAATAATCGAGTCTGGACCAGACAATCCAGTGATTAATATCATGAGCATCGATCCACATGAGATACGATGCCATGTATCAAACCAAGTCAGCGAGCCTGACCACCCGATCCTGCTAGTCGCCTCTTACGACAAGCCTAGTCGCCTTTTACGGCAAGCATGGGATGCTGACGGTCTATTCTAAAACAGATCTTCACGAATTACGAGATGAGGCGATGCGACAAGGGGTTCAACATAGAGTTTAAGATTATGGCACTTATATAGCGACGTGCATATTATACCGACATCGATCCACGTAACTGGGATACGATTCCCAACCAAGTCAGCGAGTCTGACCATCCGGTCCCGTTAGTCGCCTCTTACGACAAGCATAGTCGCCTTTTACGGCAAGCATGGGTTGCTGAAGACCTATTCTACCCCGCATCTTCACGGTTCCCATGAATAAGTAGAAAGTGTTTCTTATATCAAATATCTCAACACAATTCGTGACACAACTCTCTGATATTGCGTCATGGCATTTAATATATTTGACGCCAAAAGATGTGGAGACAATATGGTTTTTGGAATTGGGCGACTTAAAAACGCCGCATCACCATTGTGTCAGCGAGCAATCGATAGGGCCAGAATTAACTGTGATGTGCCCTCATTACCAAGAGTATGTGTCCCAATGACGTCATGTTAACACGTCTGTAGACGTAATACATAGAGGATATTTGAGTGTTGATTGAAATATCATGATTCTCATCGAGTGGTCACGAATGAAAATATCCTCTTTTCCTCCCAAAACGAACAGTGAGTGAGTGTACGAGTATGGTTGTACGCCGTTTTTAGCAATATTCCAGCAATATCACGGCGGGGGACACCATTGTACCCATGTCGGGAATCGAACCCGGGTATTCGGCGTGACGAGCGAACGCTTTAACCACTAAGCTACCCGACCGCCCCTTCCGAAACGAACAGTATCATTTGACAAGTGAAATGAGAAATTTAGTTTATAACGAAACATTTTCGAGAGAATAACAAACAGCAAGAAGTGATATAATCTTCATATATGACCATCTGTCATTATTTTGCCTTGTCAGAGTGGAACTCACGTAAAAAGGACGAGCTTGACGCTAAGGACACAAGGAGATAATTTAAGGGGAGTAACTCTTGTATGACAATAGTTCCGTGAAAGTGTTATGTTCACTGCAGTGAAAGTTTCACTTTTCTCCACTTCAGAAAACTAAGTCTTTCACACTGAAGTATATAATAAATAGAGATAACTACACTCATTCTCACTTTCGCTCGGTCAGATACCATAGAAAGTTCTCGAGTTTTGTGAAAATGGTATCTAACGAGAATGCGTGGGGTATTTTATTTATTAGCGCCGCCCTTTGAATCCCGGGCCACACTCCGGCTGGGCAATCAAAATTGTTCGGTTTCCTTGATCTATCAGATAAATTTATATCCTGTCGGTACCATTTAGGAAGAGGGAAATAGAGTGCTCGCTAAAGACGTTTATGTTAACTGAACGACCCTATAATGAAGATGTGAAAATCAACAAACTCAAGTCTGTTTAGATGTCAGTGCCAGCTTCGAACGAAGGGCAAGGTCACCATCGGAATAAGAAAAGGCAACCGTGATCTACGCACACCGCTTTACGCTAGATATCAATAGGGAATGTTTTTTTTTCACATTTGGGATGTTTGTGCCTCGAAAACAGAAGTCAGGCACACGTCCACGGAGTTTTCGAATGATTGGAACTGTTCACTGAGTGATCTGGTCATGCAATCTTGTATGTTAATTCATGAACAAACACCCTCGGAAGCAATGTCACAAAATATGCTTCGAATGGGGACACTGATGGCACAACCGGAGCATCCATGGTAAGTCTAGATATCTGTCCGGATAGTTTAAACTGACTTCGAGTGCATCATTCTCATGGGGACCCTGGATCTATCGGTAGTCGTACATTGCATATGGCTATATCTCGATTATATAAGGTCAGTCGTAGCTCAATGCATAAGTGACCGCCTCCGTGGTCTTGTGATAGAGCGTCCGCCCGGAGAGCGGAAGGTCCGGGGTTCGATCCCCGGCCGCGTCATACCAAAAGACGTTAAAAGATGGTACTTGTTGTTACCCTGTCTGGCGCTCGGCATTAAGGGGCTAAAACAAGGACTGGTCGGCTCGGAGTCAGTATACTGTGTCTGAGTGGGGTATTCATGTTAAACTGCGGCATGGTATCTCAGTGAGCTAGCACTATATATCGGCATCGGTCCGGACTAGTACAAGCAGCCACACTCACACACACGTGCATGCACGTCGTTATATAAGTTCCATAATCTTGGACGCGACGTTAAACCCAATTTCACCTCACCTCACATCTATGCCTAACTAATAAAGAATGCAAAGCGAAGTTTATGCGTGTTTGGTTTAATAACGTGTGTATAAATCTCTCGCTTTTATGAAATTTCTTCAGTTCCGCCTTGTAGTTATTAAAGCGATTGGCGTCTGGCGATTTTCTTATGAATGAAAAAAGTAGTTCCGGTGTGACAGAGCCACGGTTATCCAATCAAAACGAGTAAAACGAGGTCAACCTTGTACGACACACGTGTGACGTACGTATTTAGTATCTTACCACCTGTATCTTATAATAAAGACGCCATTGTTCACAGTCACTTGTGACGTCACGCTAGCAAAGTCGAAGCGTATCATTGATGACGTCATGTTGAACCCGTCAATATGGTTTTTGATAAGAAGACACTAGTCCTACAATACAGCTGATTATAACGTTTGGCTTTATATAGTAGGTTTGTGTGTAAATCCTACCGATTGAACAAATCTAATGTTATTCGAGTATTTTCTTCACATTTCAAACTTTCTGACACTATATTTAGTCGCCCCTAGTGGTTTCCCGCTGTATAAATCTGGGTGCCGTTGTACAAAACAACCTTAGCGCTACGACTGTCGTAAGTCTATGTTAAGGCATGGAAGTTACGATCATCTTAGCGCTTGGATCGCTTTGTACAACGGCAACCTGCACATTTAATTAAAAAACAAGATCTTTAAACTTCATAAAACTATTTTTTGATTCCATCTTGATATATTTAGGTACAGATCACTTAACAGGGGTGTATTTTCGGCCGCAGCTTGAAGACAAATGTTTTTCAAAACCCTGTAGCCAATTATTTGTACGAACATTTTCTGGAACAAATACCCCCTTCACCAAATATACCTTTAAATCACTAAACATGGAGCATTTAGAGCCGTTACACTATCAAAAACATTGATAAAAAACTTGGTCAAAGTCCATTTTGACCAAGTTTTTGATAGCGTAACATGCTGTCAAAATCTTTGACAAAGTTTATGACGGACTTTGATTGAATAGAAACCGATCCTATGACGTTGATTTAATTTAGCCAATCAGAATGCAAGGAACTTTTACCCCTTTTCAACCGGAAGTGCATAGAGTCAACTCAAAACTATTTTGGACCTACTAGATGTTGGATCAATTAATTGATTTGGTTCAACAACGAGCAGTTATTCTCGGGACCAAATATGCCTTTGCCTACCAACATGGCAATACACAAAATACTCATAACAACAGCAAAATATTCTTTGTCAGTAGCATCCATCTTGGCAAGATAATTCCCGCCAAAACTTTGACGGCCTGTCAAAAACTTTGATGAGTGTAAACAGCCCAACTTGGACCAAGAAAACTTGGTCAAAGTTTTCTTTGACCAAGATTTTGATCAAAGTGTAACGGGGGCTTAAGGGGTAGGAAATGATTATGCATACTCACTCTCTAATTCTCCCTCCAAACTTGCCTGTGCCCAGATCAGCGTGTGGTTGACCTGTGTAAGGTCTGATCTCAACTCTAGATTACCCATAACAGTTTGGTTGACCCTTTCCTCACTCACTGACAATGCAGATCTTAACATGTGTATGGCCTTGGTGTTTGCCTGTATGCTGGTGTCCGACGTATTGACGCGTATACTGAGAGAGGTAAACTTGTTGCCCAATCCATCAGTTCTTCTTCCAAGCCTATTAAATCTTGTCTGAACGTACTCCTTGAAAGTTTGTAATTCAGCATCTGTGTTGTTAACCGTTAATCGCAAGGTGGACAAGTCGGTCATCACTTCTTCCCTATTCAGAATTGACATGTTCAGTCTCGTCTGCATCAGTGCAGCATCGCGTTGAAGAAGCTGTATGTTTTCTTTGTTCTCTGCGACTGTTGAATCCGTTCTATTAAAAGTCACACGAAGCGTTGAAAAATCCGACCTAAGGTGTTCAGTATCCGAACTGGTCTTCTTAACGTCTGTCCTTAACATACTAACGTCTGTCAGGAGACTTTGAATACTGACTCTGTCTGCTCGCAAATCCGAGGCTGCTGTTTTGAGTGACACACGTAGATCAGTGACGTCTGTTTGCAAATCGCCAACGTTGAGCTTAGTCCTGTTCACTTGTGTTCGTACCGTGATGAGGTCGCTGTGCAGACTGTGGAGGCTCTGGCGGTTGTGCATGATGGAGGAGCCTCTCAGTTCAAATTTTTGACGAAGAGATGCTACATCTGACCTCAAGTCATCAGTTTTCCAAACTGTCTCATTCACTGTCTGACCAAGCGTTGCTAGATCTGCCCGGACAAATCCAGTGTCTGTGACTGATCTATTTACAATATCGCGAAGAGCTGATAATTCTGACCTGAAATGCTTATTGTTTGAGACAGTGTTGTTAACAGTCTGGCTAAGAGATGATAATTCTGACCTGAAATCCTTATTGTTTGAGACAGTTTTGTTAATAGTCTGGCTAAGAGCTGATAATTCTGACCTGAAATCCTTATTGTTTGAGACAGATTTCTTAACTGTTTGTCGAAGAGATTTTAATTCTGACCTGAAATCCTTATTGTTTGAAAGAGTTGTGTTAACAGTCTGGCCGAGGGACGATAATTCTGACCTGAAATCCTTATTGTTTGAGACAGTTTTGTTAATAGTCTGGCTAAGAGCTGATAATTCTGACCTGAAATCCTTATTGTTTGAGACAGATTTCTTAACTGTTTGTCGAAGAGATTTTAATTCTGACCTGAAATCCTTGTTGTTTGAGAGAGTTGTGTTAACAGTCTGGCCGAGGGACGATAATTCTGACCTGAAATTCTTATTGTTTGAGACAGTTTTGTTAACAGTCTGGCTAAGAGATGCTAATTCTGACCTGAAATCCTTATTGTTTGAGACAGATTTCTTAACTGTTTGTCGAAGAGATTTTAATTCTGATCTGAAATCCTTATTGTTTGAGACAGTTTTATTGACAGTCTGGCTAAGAGATGTTAATTCTGACCTGAAATCCTTATTGTTTGAGAGAGTTGTGTTAACAGCCTGGCTGAGGGACGATAATTCTGACCTGACATTCTTATTGTTTGATACAGTTTTGTAAACAGTCTGGCTAAGAGATGCTAATTCTGACCTGAAATCCTTATTGTTTGAGACAGTTTTGTTAACAGTCTGGCTAAGAGATGCTAATTCTGACCTGAAATCCTTATTGTTTGAGAGAGTTGTGTTAACAGTATGGCTAAGGGACGATAATTCTGTCCTGAAATCCTTATTGTTTGAGACAGTTTTGTAAACAGTCTCTCGAAGCTTTGATAATTTTGACCGGAAGTTCTTACTGTTCGTGTCGGTTGTGTCAACATCCTGACGAATTGTTCTTAGTTCTGATCTGAAGTTTTCTGTGTCAAAGACTGTTCTAGTGACATCCTGACGAAGAGTTGATAATTCCGACCTGAAATCTTCAGTTTTCGAATCTGTTCGGTTTACATCCTTACGAAGTGTCGATAGCTGTGACATTACGTCACTGATGTTTGACGTTGTTCCGTGCATACTCTGTTGCACTCTTAACAGGTCTGTTCTCAGCTCAGAGGCGTCTGAGACGCTCTGGTTTAGAGTATGCCACAGTGACTCGTCATTCAGAGCAGTTTTGTTAACAATTTGACGCAGTGACGAAAGTTGTGAGTTTATATTTGAGGTTGTCCTGTTCGTGGCGGTCTTCATGTCCTCCACGTGGTCATGCAGTATCCCCACGTCTGCTTGTATTGCCCTGACGTCTGCGCCTGCCTTGTCCACACTGAGGGAGAATGACGACAGTACTGACTTCACGGAGTTCACGTCTCCCTCAACACTGGCCATTTTTTCTGAAACGAGAAAGGGAATGAGTAGTAGGTTGTTTTTAAAAAAAGTTTGTTTCTCTATATTTACTGTAAAACTTGAACCTAACGCGAGCGTGAATAAATTGCGAAAAGTGCGAGTGGTCTTTGCTCGCATTATTAAACATCGCATTTATATCAACAATAAGACATTTTGGATTGCAGAAATACCAACTTAGACATACGCTGAAAACAAAACAACTATGTATTCCACATCAATGTTTATTGAGCAGCACTTGTAACAAGTACATAAACAATGTCATTCAAACACTAATTACATCCTGTGAATTGATACTGCTGGGGTGAAGACAAGCGTTCTACTCTCTGATGTCATCCCTGATCACACCTGCAAGTCCAGACAGACGCCACCCAACACGGTGTCTTTGCTCTTTGCGACTGCATCAAAGGCCGACACGAGCCAGCGCGCACATATTGTTTTAGCTGAAGTACTCTACTCAGCGCTAAAAAGCGGTGCTATTTGGTGTGTGATTGGATTAATGTAAGGTTGGATTAAGGTGAGGATTCTCCTGTACACCTGACAGAGGACATTTTGTTTAGATATAAATCCACTGATGCTTGAGAGGAGGGGGTGTCGCATTCATATTGAGTCGCATTTTTGGCTAGGATCCTGGGGTCGCATTCTATTGGAGACGCATTAATTTCACGTTTTAAAGGATGTCAATAGAACAGTCTTTGACACAAAAAACTTCAGATCAGAACTAATAACAATTCGTCAGGATGTTTACACAACCGTCTCAAACAATAATGATCAGAACTAAGAACAATTCGTCAGGATGTTGACACAACCGACACGAACAGTAAGAACTTCCGGTCAAAATTTTCAAAGCTTCGAGAGACTGTTTACAAAACCGTCTCAAACAATAAGGATTTCAGGACAGAATTATCGTCCCTCGGCCAGACTGTCAATGAAACTGTCTCAAACAATAAGGATTTCAGGTCAGAATTAAAATCTCTTCGACAAACAGTTAAGAAATCTGTCTCAAACAATAAGGATTTCAGGTCAGAATTAGCATCTCTTAGCCAGACTGTTAACACAACTCTCTCAAACAATAAGGATTTCAGGACAGAATTATCGTCCCTCAGCCAGACTGTTAACAAAACTGTCTCAAACATTAAGGATTTCAGGTCAGAATAAGCATCTCTTAGCCAGACTGTTAACAAAATCGTCTCAAACAATAAGGATTTCAGGTCAGAATTAGCATCTCTTAGCCAGACTGTTAACAAAACCGTCTCAAACAATAAGGATTTCAGGTCAGAATTAGCATCTCTTAGCCAGACTGTTAACAAGACTGTCTCAAACAATAAGGATTTCAGGTCAGAATTATCAGCTCTTAGTCAGACTGTTAACAAAACTGTCTCAAACAATAATGCATCAAACTGCTTTTGAAATGTAGTTTTGTCTGTAAATAAAGTACTTCTTGGTTTTAATAGATCTGGAAAGTTGCTTCGTGAAGGGTTTGTGGGTTTGTTTGTTTGTTTGTTGTTTGACGCAACATTCAGCAATATTCCACCTATATGAAGGCGGTTTGTAAATAATCAGACAATCTAGAGATTAAGCGCTGCAACAACCGAGGTTATATTCACGTAGATAGGACTCACCTGTCATGTCAAACTTCATGGCCGCCATCTGCTGGGTGTTGGATTGCAGGTCAACTGTGGCCTGATTGAGATTGGTCTGAAGACCTTCCATCTGCGACTGTAGCGTTCTGGCCTCCACAGCCGCTCCACGTGTGCTCCATCTCACCTCGTTCAGCTCTGATCTGAGTCCCCGGATGTCTTTATGGAGTCCCGTGCCGGTTTCATTGAAGATGGTGAGGATATTGCCCATGCCAGCTTTCATAGATTTGACATCAGACACCATTCCTGCATCAATCAATCAATCAATCAATCAATCAATCAATCAATCAATCAATCAATCAATCAATCAATCAATCAATCTTCCAGCTGTATGACGTCTGTCTGCCAATAATAGATTTTGAACAAGACAACCCAGTGATTGAAATTACGAGCAACATCCCATGTCGTCCAATTTTTTTACACTTATTTTTTCACCACAAAGGTTTCAATGTATAAATCATCACTAAAACAATTAAAACAGGCCACCTTACTTACTGGTCAAGTCGGACTTTAGGGAGTCGATGTTCTTTGAATTTGCTGTGACATCTAACACTATTCCTGTGGAATTAAGAATGGCGGTGGACAGATCCAAAGCATCCTTCCCCTCACCGGAACTAGAGTTGCTGTTTTCCTTGAGTGCCATAATCTCCGAATCCATTTTCTGTATCAGCTGCCGATGTGCCGTCACGTTCCCAACAGTCACGTCATTCACGCGACTTACGTTTGCCACTTGAGAGCGTAGTTTCCTCACCCCCGTCTGTGCTCCATCCACGCTTGTTTTGAGGATATGCCACTCTAGCTTCAACCAGTTCAGACTCTCCCGATTCGCTGTAACATTAGCAGAGGCTTTGCTCATATTAAAACTCAAGATGGACAGCGCAGATTTGATGTCCTCCGTGTCAGTACTAGTCCTATTGACGATCGTCCTCATCCTTCTCATCTCCGCTCTCATCCTTTCCAAATCTCCGCCGTTGTTTCTGGAAACCGATGATCCCCTCAACACTCGTCGCACCTTATTATCGGTTGCGAGTAATCTCCCCCTGAATTTGCTAATCTCGATTATGTTTCCTTTAACGTGACCTTCAAGCAAGGTTAATCCCCGCTCGAGCCGGTTCACCTTCTCAACGATGGCGTTATCAATGTATTTACCGAGTGAGCCAGATTGTATGAGGTCATTGACCCTCTCTTCAAGTGACGAGGTCATCCACGAATCAAGACGGGTGCGCATGTCCTTCTTCAGCCTCTGTTCCATTTGTCTCGACTCTGTGTTCAACTGTTCGTTCACCCTATACTCTATAGTGTCTAGATCGGCGTCAATTTTGTCCTTGACACGCGTCTCGAAGTCTGTTAGGTAGACTTTCAGATCACCGTATGTGAATATGTTTTGATATTCATAGTTAGGGTAATCTTCATAAGCGCTATGGACTGGGTGTATTAACATGAGGAAACATATGGTCACGGCGATGGACATTTGTAGACACATCTGAAATAGTGGTAAAATTATTGGTTAGGTGAAGTTAAATTGTTCTAAACACCGCGTTCAAAATCATTGCCCTCATACAACGACGGGGGCACGGGTGGCCCAGTCGTCTAAGGCGCCGCGACTCGCTGTGCAGAGTTGCGTCCCTTGGGCACGCCAGAAACCTATGATTGTAGGTTCGAATCCCGGTTCGCCCTGATTATGTTTCTAGGTTTGTCAGCACCATACCCGTACCCGCGGGTTTCACCGAAGTGGTAAACGTCTGAGACCTGCATCACTTCGGGCTTTCCTCCCAAATTAAGCTGACACGCCGCGATATAACTGGAATAATGTTAAAAGCGGCGTTAAACCCAACTCACTCACTCACTCATACAGCGACGTACATGCATGTGTGTGTGGCTGCTTGTACTGGTCCGGACTAATGCCGATTTAACAGTGCCAGCCCACTGAGATACCATGCCGCAATTTAACATGGATATGCCACTTAGACACAGAATACCGACTCCAAATAGACCATGAAACTAAATAAATGTTTGTAACGACATTTCTTTGCTTCTTGCCTCTTCTTCAAGTGGATATATGTTCCCCTGATACAAGGACGCGATGTAACCAGCAAGCCCCGATACAAACAACGGAGAGATCTTGGTCATACAATGTTAGTGTCTGAATATTAGAACCATGGACAAATATAAATACATATGGGACCTATCTCTAACATCTTTTTATTTTTTATTTTTTGTTTAACGCGCAGGTAACATTTTTCCAGTCTGGACCAGACAATCTAGTGATTGACATCATGACCATCGACGCAATTGGGATATGATGACATGCATCAACCAACGTCAGCGAGCCTGACCACCCGACTCTGTTAGTTGCGATGATGAATGGCACTTCTAACCCGGCTCTTCATTGGATTGTCTCTAACATGAATAATATAAAAAAGTATTTGATAATGTAAACAGTTATCAAGTGAGTGAGTGAGTTGGGTTTAACGCAGTTTTAACAGTATTACAGTTATATCGCGGCGTGCCAGCTTAATGTGGGAGGAAAGCCCGAAGTGATGCAGGTCTCAGACGTTTACCACTTCGGTGAAACCCACGAGCAGGGGTATTGTGCTGACAAACCTAGAAACATAATCAGATTCGAACCCACAATTCAAGATTTCTGGCGTGCCCAAGGGACGCAACTCTGCACAGCGAATCGCGGCACCTCAGACTACTGGGCCCCCACAGTTATCAAGCTCACGGTGAAAACAATCAATTATTATTTATTGCAAGTTATTATAATCCAAGCAACGTCAGCGTTCGTAGCCCGCGTTTGCACGATGAACTAATATGATGAAATATTGGACAGTTTGGTTTCAAAAGTAACCGTTAGCATGCACACTATTTGAGGTCAAGGGGAGTGTTGTGTCTCCCAATTTCATCAAAGTTGTGCAGCAATTTATAACATTCGTGATGCACCAAAATTAAAATGCAAATATTATTTATATTTATTGCAAATAAAAACATGCTTACCTTATGTGCTCCCCGAGTTACATATCCTTTACAATGTAGTGTCCTATATCTAGACTGCTCGCAACGCGTGCTTGGCACAACCGAACGTTGACAGATCACAGCGATAACAGCCTCGTGACCATTCCACTTACATCAAGAATCAACTTCCGTGTAATCGCAACCTGAATATTTCGCTAGCGCTCGTTCACGTCTATATGGATAACGTGATGCCTTCTGGGTTGGATTTGAGTGAGTGAGTATCGTTTTACACCGCTTTTAGCAATATTCCAGCAATATCACGGCGGGGGACACCAGAAATGGGCTTCACACATTGTACCCATGTCGGGTATCGAACCCGGGTCTTCGGCGTGACGAGCGAACGCTTTAACCATTAGGCTACCCGACCGCCCCTGTTGGATTTTATGAAAGTCATTCTTTGTTTTTTCTGTCCATGAAGCATACAAAAAAGACAATTCCGTTATGTTTCCACTTAAGTACTCTAGGTGTTTCGTTTGTTTAACCTCGCATTCAGCAGGATACCATGTACATTACAGTGACCTGAAAATACCCGAGTTGAAACTAGTGATTGATATTATGAGTCGTCGGAAAACTGCACTCAGTCAGTCAGTCAGTCAGATATTGAGAGGGCGCCATTTTGTTTTGGTCTGTTATCATCCCCGGATATTGTGAGGGCGCCATGTTGTATTGGTCTGTTACCACCCCCAGATATTGCGAGGGTGTCATGATGTATTGGGCTGACATTATCATCCCCGGATGTTGTGAAGGCGCCATCTTGCAATTGTATTGGTCTGTTATCATCCCAGGATATTGTGATATTGAGAGGGTGTCATGTTGTATTGGTCTGTTACTATTATTCCCGAATATTGAGGGAGCGCAAAATTGTACTGGTCTGTTGTTATCATTCCCGGAAATGAGAGGGCGCCATGTTGTAGTGGTCTGTTATTATTATTCCCGGATATTGAAAGGGCGCCATGTTGTATTGGTCTGTTCTTATCGTTCCTGGATATTGAGGGGGCGCCATGTTGTATTGGTCTGTTATTATTATTCCCGGATATTGAAAGGGCGCCATGTTGTATTGGTCTGTTATTATTATTCCCGGATATTGAAATGGTGCCATGTTGTAGTGGTCTGTTATTATCGTTCCTGGATATTGAGGGGGTGCCATGTTGTAGTTGTCTGTTATTATTATTCCCGGATATTGAAAGGGCGCCATGTTGTAGTGGTCTGTTATTATTATTCCCGGATATTGAGGGGGCGCCATGTTGTAGTGGTCTGTTATCATTATTCCTGGATATTGAGGGGGCGCCATGTTGTAGTGGTCTGTTCTCATTATTCCTGGATATTGAGGGGGTGCCATGTTGTAGTGGTCTGTTATCATTATTCCTGGATATTGAGGGGGCGCCATGTTGTAGTGGTCTGTTATTAGTGTTCCTGGATAATGAGAGGGCGCTAGGTTGTATTGGTCTGTTATTATCCCCGGAATTTGAGAGGACGCCATGTTGTATTGAGTCTGTTATTATTTTTTCCGGATATTGAGAGGGCGCCATGCTGTATTGGTCTGTTATTATACCCGGATATTGAGAGGTCGACACGTTGTATTGGTCTGTTGTTATCCCCGGATATTTGGAGTGCGCCATGTTGTATTGGTTTGTTATAATCCCCGGATATTGAGAGGGCGCCATGTTGTATTGGTCTGTTATTATCCCCGTATATTTAGAGGGTGACATGTTGTATTGTCTGCTATTATCCCCGGATATTAAGGGGGTGCCATGTTTTATTGGTCTATTATCCTTATTCCTTGATATTGAGAGGGAACCATGTTGTATTGGTCTGTTATCCACGGATACTGAGAGGGCGCCACATTGTATTGGGCTGTTACTATTATTCCCGGATACTGAGAGGGCTCCATGTTGTATTGGGCTGTTATTATTATTCCCGGATATTGAGAGGGTGCCATATTGTATTGGGCTGTAACTATTATTCCCGGATACTGAGAGGGTGGCATGTTGTATTGGTCTGTTACTATTATTCCCGAATATTGAGGGGGCGCCAAATTGAATTGGTCTGTTGTTATCATTCCCGGAAAGGAGAGGGATCCACGTTGTATTGGTCTGTTATTATTATTCCCGCATATTGAGAGTGTTTTATGTTGTTTTAGTCTGTTATTATTGATCCTGGATATTGAGAGGGCGCCATGTTGTAGTGGTCTGTTATTATTATTCCCGGATATTGAGGGGGCGCCATGTTGTATTGGTCTGTTGGTATTATTCCCCGAAATGAGAGGGCGCCTTATTGTATTGGTCTGTTTTTATTATTCCCGGATATTGAGAGTGTTTTATGTTGTTTTAGTCTGTTATTATTGATCCTGGATATTGAGAGGGCGCCATGTTGTAGTGGTCTGTTATTATTATTCCCGGATATTGAGGGGGCGCCATGTTGTATTGGTCTGTTGGTATTATTCCCCGAAATGAGAGGGCGCCTTATTGTATTGGTCTGTTTTTATTATTCCCGGATATTGAGAGTGTTTTATGTTGTTTTAGTCTGTTATTATTGATCCTGGATATTGAGAGGGCGCCATGTTGTAGTGGTCTGTTATTATTATTCCAGGATATTGAGGGGGCGCCATGTTGTATTGGTCTGTTGGTATTATTCCCCGAAATGAGAGGGCGCCATGTGGTATTGGTCTGTAATTATTATTCCCGGATATTGAGAGGGCGCTATGTTGTATTGGTCTGTTGTTATCCCAGGATATTGAGAGGGCGCTATGTTGTATTGGTCTGTTATCATTACCCCCGGATATTTATAGGGCGCCATGTTGTATTGGTCTGTTTTTATTATTCCTGCACATTAAGGGGGCGCAATGTGGTATTGGTCTGTTACTGTTATTCCCGAATATTGAGGGGGCGCCATATTGTATTTGCCTGTTATTATCCCTGGATATTGAGAGGGTTCAATGTTCTATTGGTCTTTTATTATCCCAGGATATTGAGAGGGTGCCATATTGTAGTGGTCTGTTATTATCTCCGGTTATTGAGAGGGCGCCATGTTGTATTGGTCTGTTATTATCCCCATATATTGAGAGGGCGCCATGTTGTAGTGGTCTGTTATTATCCCCGGCAATTGAGAGGGTGCCATGTTGTATTGGTCTGTTATCATTATTCCTGGATATTGAGAGGGCACCATGTTGTATTGGTCTTTTATTACGCCCGGATATTGAGAGGGCGCCATGTTGTATTGGTCTGTTGTTATCCCCGGATATTTAGAGTGTGCCATGTTTTATTGATCTGTTATCATTATTCCTGGATATTGAGAGGGCACCATGTTGTATTGGTCTGTTATCATCCCCGGATTTTGTGAGGCGCCATGTTGTATTGGTCTGTTGTTATCCCCGGATATTGAGAGGGCGCCATGTTGTATTGGTCTGTTATTATCCCCGTATATTTAGAGTTTGTCATGTTTTATTGATCTGTAATCATTATTCCTGGATATTGAGAGGCACCATGTTGTTTTGGTCTGTTAGTATCCCCGTATATTGAGGGTTTGCCATGTTGTATTGGTCTGTTATTATCCCCGTATATTGAGAGGGTGACATGTTGTATTGGTCTGTTATTATTATTCCGGGATATTGAGAGGGCGCCATCTTGTATTAGTCTGTTTTTATTATTTCCGGATATTGAGGGGGTGCTATGTTGTATTGGTCTGTTATTATTATTTCTGGACATTGATGGGGGCGCCATGTTGCTTTTGTCTCATATTATTATTCCAGGATATTGAGTGGGCGCCATCTTGTATTAGTCTGTTTTTATTATTTCCGGATATTGAGGGGGTGCTATGTTGTATTGGTCTGTTATTATTATCCTGGATATTGATGGGGGCGCCATGTTGTACTGCTCTCTTATTATTATTCCTGGATATTGAGGGGGCGCCATGTTGTTTTTGTCTCATATTATTATTCCTGGATATTAAGGGGGCGCTATGTTGTATTGATCTGTTGTTATTATTCCCGGATATTGAGAGGCTGGCATATTGTAGAGGTCTGTTATTATTCCCGGATATTGAGAGGGAACCATGTTGTATTGGTGTGTTATTATTCCCGGATATTGAGAGGGTGCCATGTTGAATTGGTCTGTTTTTATTCCCGGATAGTGAGAGGGCGCCATGCTGTAGTGGTCTGTTATTATCCCCGGGTATTGAGAGGGTGACATGTTGTATTGGTCAGTTATTATCCCCGGATATTGAGATGTGCCATGTAGTAATGATTTGATATTATCCCCCGGATATTGAGGGGGCGCCATATTGTATTGGTCTGTTATTATCCCCGGATGTTGAGAGGGCGCCATGTTGTATTGGTCTGTTATTATCCCCGTATATTGAGAGGGTGACATGTTGTATTGGTCTGTTATTATCCCCGGATATTGAGAGGGTGCCATGTTGTATAGGTCTGTTATTATTCCCGGATATTGAGAGGGCGCCATGTTGTATTGGTCTGTTATTATTCCCGGATATTGAGAGGGTGACATGATGTATTGGTCTGTTATTATCCCTGGATATTGAGAGGGTGCCATGTTGTATTGGTCTGTTATTATCCCCGTATATTGAGAGGGTGACATGTTGTATTGGTCTGTTATTATTATTCTGGGATATTGAGAGGGCGCCATGTTCTATTGGTCTGATATTATTATTCCTGGATATTAAGGGGGCGCTATGTTGCATTGGTCTGTTATTATTATTCCCGAATAATGAGAGGGAGCCATGTTGTATTGATCTGTTGTTATTATTCCCAGATATTGAGAGGGTGACATGATGTATTGGTCTGTTATTATCCCCGGATATTGACAGGGTGCCATGTTGTATTGGTCTGTTATTATCCCCGGATATTGAGACATGACATGTCGATTGGTCTGTTATCATTATCCCAGGATATTGAGAGGGCACAATGTTGTATTGGACTCTTATTATCCTCGGATATTGAGAGGGTGCCATGTTGTATTGGTCTGTTATTATCCCCGGATATTGAGAGGGCGCCATGTTGTATTGGTCTGTTATTATCCCCGTATATTGAGAGGGTGACATGTTGTATTGGTCTGTTATTATT